AATAGTTAATCAGATTCTTCATGTAATGGTTGTAACTTTGTCTTATAAAAAGTTAATAAAAACTATCGCATGTAATGCGCTTTGCCTCTAAAAAAAAATATATATATATATTTACTATATATTAATGATTATTAATATTATTTGAATTGATGGAAGGTAAAAAACTTTTATTGATTTTTGTATATTCTATAATGAATTTAGTATATACAGGTTTTTTAGAAATTCAAATAGCTTTATATAATTATATTAGAAAGAATAGATTTAAAAAAAGTAAGATAATAACATCAATTTTTCAAAAAATCAAATATTATTAGATATTAATAAATGAATAGTATACTATTTCAACTATTGTTGATCCACAATATAAATTATTGAATTTTGAAAAAAACAAATAAATCATAATGATAAATATCAATTGAAATATATTTAATAGTTATTTTTAATCTAATAATAATATTTCTATAAAATTTATTTTTAAAGTCTCATAAAATCTTTAGAAATATTTTACTTTTCTTTATTATCAACAATATTTTATAGATGAATTTTTATTTAATTTACAAATAAACTATTATTTAATATCAAAAAATCTTAAACTTGAATTATTAACATGGTAGTCTAATAATATTGTATAATTTCCTATTTTAAGTTTAATGATATCAGATTATTTATAACATATGCTACTAATATAAGTTATAAATGAACATTTAATATTATAAGTTATACAATTTAAAAAGAAAGAAATAGATTAAAACCTTTAAAAATATTGAAAAATTAAACAATAATAAAGTTTTTTATATTGTAGGTTAATTAATAATATATGAATATCACGTAATATTACATCATGTTATTTGTGTTATTATAAAAAAAACAGCAAAGAAATTAGAATAAAACAATAAATGGCATAAAGTATTAATATATAGACAAGCCTAGTATATAAACAAAAAAGAGAGAAAATAATAAAATATAATACCATAAGTATTTAATTAAGTTAAAATTAATTAAATACTTATCTTATCTGGTAATACATTATATAAAAGTTATTAAGCATTAATAATTAACTTTTTTAATACTTATAACAATATTATAATAATTTTAAATTTATTTATTAAATAAAACATATTACTTAAAAAATTTATTTATTAATTAGAAATATAAGAAAAAAAGTTTTTATATATATATATACAGTATTTTAATTTCATTTCTTAAAAATAATTAATATAATCTAAAAAATAAAAATATTTAATTTAAATATAAATTTGTAAATACTAATAAAATAAATTTTACTTTAAAAATTTAGTAATAGTATTGGAGCCATAATCAAATATTTAAATAAATTTTATAAGTAAATTATTATATATATATGCTTTGTTATTTTAAATAAATTATGTCTTTAAAAGAATAAACACGAATCCTTAAACTAATCTATATACAGTTTTTTATTGTTCTTTACTTGGATATTTAACTTAGATTGAATTATAATTTTTAATAAATATTGTATACATTATTAGTAAGAATATTCTTTATTTTATACAAATAATTGTTTTTTAGTATATTGTAAATATAATACATTATAGTATAAAGAAAAATTCTCACAATGTTTAAACATTGTAAAAGATATTTGAAATAGATAAGTGAGGTAAGTAAAGCTTAGATTAAGTGATTTGGCCTGTTTTTATTGATTCTTGCCAAACTGTGGCACAAATAAAAAAATATTACATTATATAATTTTGTCAAACATATTATCTATATTTATATATATATATAATGTATTGATTCTTTTGAACCTAAAATATTTTTTCATTATAGATTATTAATAAGATATATCTAATTTATTAATTCATATATAAATTAGCTACTTTTTATTATTATTATTATTTTTTTAGTATGAATTCACTTGGATAGAATGTGATAAAGAGTTAACTAAAGTGATTTGAATTTTACTTATTTTATTTATCTATTTTTAAATGTTCTTTACAATGTTCATATATTGTAATAAATAAATATTATTTGATAAGTAAAATTCAGATCAAGTAACTAATATAAAGTACCTCTTTTATTTGTTACATTAATAATTTTTTGTATTATCAAATTTTTTTTCAATATAAATAAGATTTCTTATTAATAGAAGCATTTACATAAGGAGTTGCTGGACCAATTATCTATAGATAAGATTATAGAAAGATCTGTTTTCAAATCCTGCATATATAAAGCTAAAAAAAATCTAATGTGTCTTGCTATCAGCTTCATGAAAAAAACCGAAAAGATCTTTTTGATCCAATATATTATGTGATAGCAAGTAAGTGAAATCTTATAGATATTAGAAACAATACTGTGATTTGCATATTATACTAGGCTTCTATTTTGGATATAAGAGCCTGGAAAGAGTCTAATACAGAAAGATCCTGGTAATGATTCATATAGATGTCCTTTATTATTAATTTGACTTCTTAATATACTATTGAGATTTTATATTTCTTAGAGTTTACTACTTTTAGAACTAAATTTTAAGCATGAGTTTAATTGAAATAATATTAATTCATATTCAATTTAACAAATGACTTGTGATTGAAATTGTTAATAATAATATAGTTTTTTAAAGTAAGTAAAGAATAAATATCTTATTGTTACTGTTAAAATATCTTATTGAATCAAAGGATGAAATTAGATTTATTAGTTTATTGGTTATACAGTAGCAGTCAAAAATAATGAGAATTTTAATTACATGACTTAATTTGTCACACTTTGAAAATTTTATTATTATAAAATAAACATGTATATTAATATTTGTACAACACGTAAGCCACCTATTACACGTATTTGTCTCACAAATTGGGCATATGTCATCTCAATCGAGACTTGTAGATCAGCGAGCAATCGTAAGGCAACTTTGGACAATAAAAGTTCATGAACCAAAAAAAATAGCTGCAATAACTCATATACTACTTTCTACTGTCTATCGCTATGTAACCAAACTCAAAAAAACTGGAACTTTGTCTCCTCATGGTCATTCTGGTCGACCAAAAATTATCTCTATAAAGCAATGTCATCAGCTTGATCAGATTGTAAAACATCAAGCTAATGTTACCTCTGCCGAACTTGCAGCCCGTCTTAATAAAACTAGTCATGGATTGAAGGTATCAGCACGAACAATATGTCGTGAACTTGTAGATCTTAATTATAAGGTAGTTTGTTCTCAACATATACCATTATTAACACCTGTGCATATTAAAACTCATCAAGATTGGGCACTTCGTCATATTAATTATCAATGAAATCAAACAATATTTTTGGATGAGGCAACTTTTCAGATGTTCTGAAATACTAAATTAGTTAGATATACAGTATCTCCTCCACAAAAAACAATAGTAAAGCATCCATATAAGATTCATGTGTGGGCAGCATTTTCGGCACAAGATTCAATTGGATTCTACATGTTCTCAAGAACCTTAACTGCTACTAGGTATTGCGAAATTCTTACTGAACACCTTCTTCCACATGCTTACAAGACTGGAACACGATGGCGCTTTCAACAAAATAATGTGCCAACACACAAAGCCAAATTTATTCAAGAGTTTATGAATTCTCATCATTTTAATGTTATCAATTGGCCCTCAAACAGCTCAGATTTGAATCCGATCAAGAATTTGTAGGCCATTTTGAAGAGGAGAGTTGAAAAACAGGTAAATGTTCATATCGTGAAAAATAAGCATATATCCATAAGCAAGTTTCAACAAATTATTGAAAAAAAATGGAAAAAAAATGATCGAAATTTATACCTTAAATTAGCAAATTCAATGCTTAACGTTTAAATTATGTAATTGAATTAAAGGTTAAAAAAACGAAATATTAAATTTATATATATCTTAAAATTGATGTATTAAGGTTTTTAAATTTATAAAAATTAAATAAAAATTAAATAAATTTTAAGACATAATAGCCAATTTAAAATTCTTATTATTTTTGACCATTACTGTATATACAAGAAAGTTTCTTTTGTAAACTTCTTTTGTAGCTTTTGAAATAGTAAAGTAAAAACTTATTGGCAAATTATTAATCCAATTATGGATCTCACAAATTGCCTACCTATATTCTACAATAGTGTTGAATATCATTCTTGAATCCAACTGAGTATTAAAAAATTCTATAATGTTATTGATAGGACAAGTGATAAAATCAATATTTCTTTTGTTGCACCAATCAATTTATTTTTTAATATTAGATAAAATCCTTTTAAAAGATTTTTTATTACAAGTTGCAATATAGAAATTGATAGCCTTTATATAAAATCTCTTCTTTTCAAGCTTTTGCCTAATATACTATACAAGCCATATATAGATTTTTTATTTTTTTATCTAGCAATATTATATAGGATCTCCTGTCAAAATTATTAATCTGTAGAAAAGCATAATTAGAGATATAATCAGTATTGATAAGAGATAAGAAAATCAAGTTATCAATGTCTACAAGGGAAATATCAAAACTATCTTTGTTTTTTTCCTTTTGACCTTTGTTAAAATCTTAAAAAGAATTATTTGTGAGAGTTGACCTAAAACTTTTAACCATTCCAGAATATAAAAAAAGTATTTGTTGCAATTGCTAGTAAATCTTTCTTTCAAAACATAAAGGTTGGTATGAACCAGTTTATTTTATCACAAAGAAAACTAAATTGCAATTCTCTATGATCTGCTTATTACTTTGAATATTTAATGAGAGATCGATTAATTATGTCTGTCATTCCTTTCTCTTAATATTTAGTTTGCTAGTATGTTGTTATTATCTGAAATGTGTTTTGCTGATAGCTATATTCCATATTTTAGATACATCTCTCAGATTTTCTTTGTTAAAAAACTTATTTTAAGGGAAAATATATATTTCTGATTGTTCAGATAAGACATTGTTATTATATTGTTATTCTTTACTAATATTAGTTGATTCTTTTGATAACTCCAAGCAAAAAGAGTACTTTTTATTATTATAACTTCCATAAATTTTTATGTGCATGTTGACAAGATTTTTCTTCTAATAATTATAGACCAGTTGTCTATTTAACATGATATTTTATTTTGTCTTAAATGTATTAGTATAGATAGTTGTTAAAAGCTGTTTCACTATTATATTTCTTTCATTTCATGCTTTTAACTTGTTTATTTATCTCTTTAGTTGATGTCTGCTTTTCTGAGACAAGATTAGTATAGCTTGCCAGCCCTTGTCTTATATCATCCAGTTATTGTTCCTTAGAAGAGATTGTGAAAAATGTCTTGCTGGAAAAACAGCATTATTGTTGTATTCAGTTTTCCTGGAAGAGTAGGCAGCTTGTATATATGGATTACATCCTTTTTCAAAATTATTTAGCATTTCTTGATTATATTCTTTATCTTTCTGGTTAATATTGTTAGAATGAGATTTGTCAAATCTATGTTAAATTCCAAAAACTTTATAGATGTTATGGGTTTTAATATAACTTTTCTTTGTTAAGTATAATGTCTATTTGTTTTAAAAAACTACAGGCTTAATGAGTATGATCTTATAATTTTTTTTTGAGCAGATTATAATCAGGGTATCATTTAACTAGATGATTAATCTGATTTCTTCTGCTTTTAGAAGGCTTACTATTAGTTTGAGTATTTTCATAAATATTTTAAGACTTGTTAATAGTCTAAAAGATAAGACTTTAAACATATAGCATAATCCAAAAATATTGAAAGCAACAAATCTATATACTTGTAAGTTGAGAAATATATAATAGAAAGCATTCTTTATATCTATTTTGATAGAGGTTTTTTTTTTTATCAAAAAGCCTATTAGCAAAATATTCTCTATCTTGAAATATTGGTGGAAAATGAACTTATTTAAATTCTTTAAGTTGACTACTGACTAGAAATCCTCTGACTTCTTTAATATTAAAAACAGTTCAAAATGAAGCAAGATTTATTAAGGCCTAGGGAAAAGATTATATCTTGATTCAAAAGAGACAAAATTTCTGATTTTAGTATATTCAACTTCTTGGATTTTAATGACAATTATTTTGATCATGTCAATAAGTAATTTTCTTTTAGAATTTGAACTATCCAAGTATTATCAAACATTTTGGTTCAGATAAGATAAAAGTTCTTTAATCTTGGTTTTACTTATAGGTTATTGATTATTTTGATATGACTGATACTGGGGGTCTAAGTGACAAAAATTTTGGTTCTTTGTTCAAAACCCAAGTTTTTCATGTAGTTTTTGTTATACTTGCTTTTGTAACCTTGGAACTTATATTTGAAATCTTTCTGAAATGACTGTGAATATTGCTTTTGACATTGTATATCATTAAAAAACTTGTTGATCTCATTCTCTTCTGAGATAATTTGTTTAAGCTTGTCATTAAAAAGAGTTTGGATTCAGGCTTAGACTAATAGTATGAATTGATGCACTTGATAGTCGAATCTCATCTGTGTTTTTCATCATAAAACAAGAAATCAAAATGAAGCATCCTAGAAAGGAGGAGTATCAATTAAATAAATGTTCAAGTATCCAAGGCATTGCAATTGTCTTGTAGTAACTTGTAGTCATATAGATTCTTGATAACAAAATCCAAGGACCTGAGAGCTGTAGAAGTACAATATGAAATCTTGGACAGAACATTATCCACATCTTTAGCTTGTTTTGACATTTGTTTTTATAACTCTTTGTCTATAGCAAGAGGGAAAAACCTAACAAGCTTGTTGTATGGACAGGATTGTAGAAGCTTTTGTCTTTCTTCTACAGATAACAGAGCATCTTTAAAAATTCTAGTTAATAACTTCTTCATCTCTCCTGATGGTGTAAAAGTTACTTTATATGTGAAATAAAACTTCTTGTCGGAAGACTGGATGTTGTCATTGACAGTTTCTTGATTGGAGTCTACTGACATAAATAGGAATGATTAACAAGATGATTAAAATCTATTACTTATTTTAGCATTTATTCTTTCCTTATTATTATTATTCTTTTTTGGGCATCACTAAAAAAGTCATGGATTGCGAACCAAAATAAAAACAGCCTAATTGAAAGGGTCGACGTGTCACACATACTGTATATATAGGCATAGATAGCGTGTTTGACAAAATTGTATGATGTAATTCTTTTCTGTTTGTTCCACAGCTTGGCAAGAACCAATAAAAACAGGCCAAGTCACTTGATCTGAGTTTTACTTACCAAATTTATAAATTTTGTTGATCGAGTTTCATTTATACTGTAGATCAACCTTCAGGTAGCAGTGATTTTTTTCCCAAAATAAAAGACATGGGTCAACCCGAAATTTTATATTTCGGGTCAGATCATTTGCTTACGTAATAATTTCGGCTGGGTCAGGTCGGGTCGGGTTCGACCCGTTCGACCCGTTTGACCCGTTTGACCCGTTCTATTTTCAATCTGAGTTTAAAAAAATAAAACCTGAAGCAGTCACATTATCTATCATCAAATTTCCTTTATAATTGAACTCGCTCTACATTTCGACGTTGATCTTGTTTACAGCATACCTTTGATTTTTTTACCTACGTTATCCTTGATTCTGTAAACTTAATTGGTACCCTTCACATATTTAAAAAACTTTGTTTCTTTTCCATAACCATTTATACAAGTAATGTGCTCTTTATTCTCTTTCACCAGATGAAACTGGAAATTCTTTTTTGCTTGAGTTCGGTTTCGATAATCATAGATCATAATTCATGAATTTTCAAACTCGGAATTTGATGTCAATCGGTAAAACGAACAAAATGGATAATTTTAGTGATTTTATTATTTCAATAATTATCAACATATATTCTTGCATTATAGTTTCTGTGCCCGATGGATAGTAACAATTTTAGCTTCTTTTGATGGGATGGCTATTGTACGTATCTGATTTGAGCCGTAGCGTAGGTGACAAAGTATTCTTTCTTATCAAAATTTGAATTTCAAGATGCGGAATTTAGTGAAAGGCGTCTCCATGTCTATATTTCATGGTCATCACGGACGGATATTGTGTACTGTATGGAGTTTAGATGACAAGGATTTGGTTTTCACGGGTGGAGATGGCGCGATGGGTTTCGGCTGAAGATTATCTGGTGTTTTGAATATTACAATAAAAATATCTGATTACTCTTATACTTACGGTAAACCATTAATGCCGTTATGTTGATCAACAACAATTATTACAAAAAATGCACAACACGGCAACCTCCCTAACATTAATCCCAAATCAAGTCATTATACCAACGGTTGACATGAGTATGTCCACATCTTCGCATGCAAAACAACCTTACCCATCGAACCCAGTCGTAGGGTAGATATTCGTACTTCAAAGAAGAACAAGAAATTAAAAAAAATTTACTGCCATTGAGTACAACAACACCTGTTCGACGTAAGAACCTTCAATATTGAATTTTCAATCTTGCAAAAAGGTTATATGGTGGTGATTTAGTAAAAGTATTGGGATTTTAGGCTGACAAAGAGAGCTTGAACGATCATGATCAACAAAGTCCATTGTTCGTAGATTTGTTTCGGAGAAGGAAATAATACAAGAAGATTAATTATAAAAGAAGGTGATTCGCAATATTCTCCTTTTATCACCTGTATATAAAATTTTTCTCATTATATTTATTTTTTTAATATATATTTTAAGTTTTATCACACAATTCCTCAGAGCAGTCTATTCGTTTGAATGGCCTATAAGTTAATCCAAGTTTGCCACCGGAATTATGATCAAATAATTTTCTAGTTTAGTTAGATTCTGTGAAGAAAACAATAACTTTCTAATCAAAATTAGATACTTCTTACACTTAGTCCCTTAGGCACGCAGATGGCTTTGATCAATCAATTATTTTATACTCGTTTATAATATTAAAAATATTATCATTTAGCCGGACGAGATGTACGGCAATTTTAATGTGCCTGCAAGCGTTGGTTAGCATGTGGGGAGATATATCAGGCTATTGACATCTACATAAAGCTGAGATGTATCGGTAAGTGAAAGATTCAAATTCACGATTAAGCGAAAGCCCAATTTATCAATTTTTATTTATACTGTGAGACTATGGCACTCACAAAGCTGTGGCTTATTTCTGAAGACTCAGTAATATCAGAATTGTGTTATTCTTGGGCTATTCAACTTGAGAAAGAAGAGTCTTATGAACAGGCTGCTATATGGTAAATTGATATATAACTTCGAATCAGCGATGAAATTTAATCCATACTTGAATAGTTTTTTACCAACATATGTAAATTTTAATAAATTGCTTAATTGTAATTAATAACTAATGATGATGCCAAAGATGTCTGTAGAAAAAATAAATTGGGAAGCGATTAATAATAGAGAATTAGATAAGCAGCAGGAAAAGGATATTAGCATTCAAGCAAAAACACTCATATAAATAAAATTTAATAAATCAAGATAATTGTACAAGCGCATAAAGCATTTAAGAAGTCTTGGTTATAAGCATTACTTATAGATATATAAATTGATCATTATTTATTATAGCATTATTTTGAAGTATTGTGTTACTAAGAATTTAATTATTTCTAATGCTTTATTTAGCCAAAGATCCGTTGCTTCACTTTATTATAATAAAAAATACTTATAATATAATTTTTAACAATAAAACAACAGTATTTAAAATTAGATAAAAATAATTTTTTAAAAAAAAAATCAAAAAAAAGTTATATTTCTACACAAATACTCGGATATTACAATGAATCGGTTTCTTACAATATATTCAATAAATTATTTGAACGCATGTGTAATTTAATTAACAAGAACGAAATTAAGAAAATTATGGGTGGGAAATTAAAATAGTGTAGATAATTAGGAAACGAGTTGTTTCCGAAAAAAATTAATTGAAAGTATTTTAATAACCAATCAAATTTTATTACATATAACCCAAACCCGAAAATTATTAAATGGGTCATATCGGGTCAAACCCGAACCCGACCCGAACTGACCCATTCGGAACACTAGACATGGGTGTGTTTGCATACATATTTGTACAGTACACGTGCAGCCGAGTGTAATTTCCGGATCGCGGGAATTCCTGGTTGCACATGACTATATTACGGATCGTCATGTAATCGGAAATATAATTATCACAGTATGGAAATTTCACTCAAAAACAATAAAAACAATGCAAATGCACCTGAAAAAATGCCATACGGAGAACACCCCTCATGTATTTTATTTTGGGAAAAAAAGTCTCTGTTCCTTCAGGTTAGGTCGGGCCTTTGTTATGACCCATGCGAACCTGGCCCGTGATTAACATGGCCTGGCCCATATAAATACTAGATGCATCAGCTTAAATTTTTAAGTAATTTAGTTTCCTGCTTATAGTACAGTACGTTCGAATACAGAAATGAATTAAGAGTGTATCATTTCGATGAAAAAATTCGTGAACTCACAATTTGTAACTGTTATAAAAAGATTTTTATTTTATTTTTAATGCTATAAGTTTTAAAAAATTCGATACCTTGATACGAATATACTAAAAGTGGAACTAAAGCCAGAGGAGTGCCAGCAGGAACAAACAGTCTGAAGAAAGCCAATCCGTGAGCAGCTAACCCTAAGTAAGTTACCCCTATGAGAACAGTACATATACATTGTTATTTGATACAGTACGTACTAACATTCACAAAAAAAACGGAAAAAAAAATAATAAAATTAAATCCTACCCCTTGTTGTAAAGTAATTTTCACCAATGACACCATAATCTATTTCGTTGCTGTTGAAAGAAAAGATTAATTGCTAAAATTATTTAGAGGAGCCGAAGCAATCAATTCTAAAACTTCGACAGGAAATGTAGAGAATTTTTTTATCGGAATATCGTATGTCGCGGTGTATAGTACCCCTTCCTGTAGAATACTTGCCGGACTTCCAATCAATATACACAAAATAAAGAATAATATATATATATATTACATACATAATATACACATATATTATTCTTATATGTGTGTATTGATTGGAAGACCGGCAAGTATTCTACAGGGAGGGGGTACTATATACCGCGATGTACGGTATTTAAAGGTTTCAACAAAGATCACTGAAAATAAAAAAAGAAAAGAGTATGCAAAAGCATTTGATCCTATTAATATTATCATTGGTTGAGATGCTTGAGCGTCATCACAATTATTAATAAATCAGATGCTTGAGAAACAACCCTAGTCTATGCTTTGAACAACTTTGCCGTTGGAAACACGTGAGGAGTTGATTGTATAAAACGATATCAAGTATTTTAAATAATATAATGATTTTATCTAAAAATATCATCACTTATTGCTTTTTAGCATTAGCGTTGTGAACAATTTCAGTCATCATGCCCTTGTAACATTAGGCATATACAGTACTGTGGTCGCATATTTAAAACTTATTTAAGTTTAATGTCCAAGTAACAACACATTTTAGTATTACTATGCATCTAGCAGCAGAGAAATATTTGTTGCAAAATAAAAGACATGTGAGGTGTTCTCCCTACTTCATGTATTTGACACCCGTGTGTCAACTATGCAGCACTCGTGCAGGCGAATTTGTAGTGAAATTTCCGTACTACAGTAAATAATTTATATTGGGGTAATAATTTTCGAAGGCAGACCGGAAATTTTCTGGGGTGATCCTAAAATTCATACTATATACAGTATGTATCGTTTAAAAGTTGGGTCCGAAAAAATCATATCTAGCATTTTTGTTGCCTTAAAAAATAGTTATCCATTGTTATTAACACGTTCTTATGCCCGTGCTTTATATTAAGGTTTATAATAATTATTTTATATCTACTTTTCTTTATTCTTGCTTCGTGAGGTGACATGCTACACGTGCTATAAAAAATAAAGGTTTGAAAGCTAAGTAAATACATAATTGCGTTAATATTATCCTTGAATACGCTGTAGTTTATAGTTTAATATGCTTATGTCAAAGAGACTAAGAATGAATTTGAAAGTCGATAAATATTAACGAAAAATTAATGGTGAGTTACAGCATATACAATGCATGCCTTGCAAGTAAGTCTATATCTTTGCAAAGTGTCTCTTATATCTTACAATTTTGACTTTATTTCTTGTTGATATATACCTTTATTATTGGAAAACATGGTAAACAGGTAAATTGATTGCATCAGATCCAAATTTTGAAATGGCACGATTTAACTAAAGCTCCGACAGTATTTTATTTCCCGCCACCCACAGGTACTTACGCCGAAGCTATTTCAGAGTCTGATTAATAGGGTTTCAAATAAATGGAATTTACATTTTATTAATTCACTTTTAATTCTTACATTCTTAAGCATTATCTCTCTTTTTTTTAATACAGTATATTTATCTGTTTTTAGCTTATTTGTTAAATAGTCTTAAAATATTATTTACACGACTTTTTATACCTAAATTTAATTAATTTTATTTTTCATGGTACATTAATAATTTTTACAGTTTTTAATAGTCTTAATGCTACATTTAATAAAAAATTACTGACGTATAACATGGGAACCGATCAAATTGCTTAAAACGCATGATCTTGCACAGGTGACACACAAGTGCCGTAGGGGTGTTGCATACATGAGGTAAGGAGAATACCGCCCATGTCTTTATTTTGGGGAAAAAATCTCTGCATCTGCTGTAACTGCACAAATAATTGACAGTGAAACCTCACGTGATGTTATTCTTTCATAAAATATGCTGTCACAAAACCTATGCTATATTTGTTACCGTGCTACAGAATACTAAACAAATACCCGGAAATAATGCGTGTAATACAAATTTTTGGGCGTAAAATTATATTTTGTCATACAGATTATATAAAAGCAAGCAGGAAGCTTATAAGTACTAATTGTGTCGTGCAATACTGTAAAGGAACGTATTATTTATGACAGGCAGAGTCAAAAATTTTCAAAGTAAAATCGGAGTTCGGATAATTTTCATTTCACCATCAATTATTAAGAGGTTCGTATCGCGGCTTGCAATATGCAATACTTGGGAATGCATAAACAGGGATGACATGCAACGCAATACTCCTACAGGCGATGCAATACACAAAACTTTGTGTACTGTTTGGATGTGAATCTATGTCTATTATAGTGGCAATAAAATTTATTTAGTTGGAACCCGTGAAGCACTTGCCTTGTCCTAAAAAATCTTTTTGAATATTATACGAGCATCGGGTATAGATTTTAGGAGCACACGAAGATATGCTGTGTATTTAAACTTGATCCAATAATCCTAAATCACAGCTAATTCTTGAGCATTTATACACGTCATGTCGGAGGTAGAGAATTGATAGTTAGATAATAAAAGGCAAATAAATTTAAATGGTTTACTTATTTAAGGGGCGTGGCTGACATGGCGCACAGTAATGGCTTTGAAATTTCTGAAAACCATAAAATCGTTCAAAAAGCGAATAAACGCCTTCTGACATTGCACAAAACGGAGATTGATTTCCAAAGATAACATGCTTATTGCCGAAATAATTTCGTGTATAAAATTTTTGTACTACAAAAAAGAAAAGAATTCCATTGAAGATAACACCAATTTTTCTTTGTGTACAATTTTCTACTTATTTGATAAATAAACAAAAAATTATTGCTGTAAAAAGTACATTGTGGATCACACAATAATAATAATAATACAGAAAAGAAAATTTAGCTGATATAATGCTGCATAATTTACCAAAATTTCTCGTTTTACAATGGTCGTTAAATCAGAATCAATATAGTGTTTGTCCAAATGAAGGTAAATTCAATATGTTGATTTTATGATATTTCAATTTGCAATTAAATATACAGCAGCAGCCTATTTCCTTCCCATTTGGACGATGTCAAAGGTCAATATTTTTCCAAAAGTTACTATTACCTATTGAAAATGTAAACACTGACTATGGCAATGATTTCATTTGTTATCAACTTGCTCAGTTAGATCAAAAAACAAATTTTACTAGCTTATACCGGTAAAAACTTTTACTGTACAAATACAGTATATTATAATATAAATTGTATTACTACAGTAAACATTAAAAGGTTAACTTACACAAAGCTGCAATTTCATCTGTTATAAAAAAAAATCGAAAACACATTATCCAGAGATTACTAAAACTTTATCCGATGCAAATATTTTATTTCATGCGTTCATTGGTCGCATAAAAAAGATATGCATACAATCCCATTATGTACCTTTTGTATAGAGCATACCCATGAATGCATCCATGATCCTAGTGTTTGTAAGTTTCACCGGAGTTTATAAAATATGCACGAGTTTGTGGATGATATTTTGCTTCCCTAAAAATAGAACGGGCGTTTATCATTGCGATTCGTTTCTTGACCCGGCATCTATTCCTTCTCAGACAATCCCAACAATACAGTATACCGTAATAGTAATACATAAAGAAAATCAAATGAAATTTTTTTCTAGAACTCTACATACCCCTATTCCAAACTTTATCAGAACCAACAAACGACTAGATAGCTGGCGACATTTTTAAATTCAGGGTCAACCCAAGCAGGTAAACATTTATTTATTCCCTAAATAGTAAAACAATTAAAACAAAAAAAAAAAAAGCGCCAACAATATATTGTTATTTGATTATTTCTTAGACAACAAATTTTTCTTGCCATTTGATCAAACTCATAAACACGAAAGTCAAAAGTTCGCGCAATGAAATTATATATAAATATCACTTAAAGATTAAATAAAATCCGTTAAATAACCGAGCATAGACTTTGATTATTGTTTCGTGTTTTTAGTTTAAGAATAAATTTAAATTTTCCCAAATAGCCCACCCTGAAAAAAAGCATAGCCCAATACCAGGCGCTACCCATGAATTATTTTTTGAATAAGATGTCACAAAAATATTTGTTTGCAGCAAAAATATGAACATATGGATGTAGAAAAGGAATAACAGATTCCCCTATATTGTGCACGGATCTTACATAACATCAATCGGAAATATAAAATAATTTTTTTCTTATAGAACATGCATTATGCAAACTGTTGAAAAAAGGGAGAAAAAATCTGGTGCATCTTGCATGAAACAATTGCGTATTATTTACAGGTATCAATAATAATTGCTGGTGAAAGAATTGATGGCGACGTACATTGACACATTTGCATTCGTAATAATTAATATTTAATTTTACACATTAAGAGAAATGTGGCTGAACCTACTATAACTGCATTCAATCTTGAAGTAGTAGCATCATCAGAATTAGATGGAAAACGCCTTAACTAGAAATCAAGAACACCCCAACATTTATATATGCAAGTGTACTTTTGCTATTTTAGACTTTTATTGAATATAATCTGTATGACTTTGTCTTAAACTAACCATTTGTAAAAGAACAAAATAGGATATCATCATTCATCTTTGTTAATAGGTTATATACTGTAATGCATGTATAAATTATATTGAACAAATAATCGGGTGTATTCCAAATTATAACAATAACTATTATAAAAGCTTTTCAAAACACCGATTACTGAAAGTCAAAGAGTGTACGGCCACACCACCATCGACTCATTTGGTAATAAATCATTGCATGACATATAATGTCATGAGATTTCTCGATAATGCTTCTACAGTACTTCAAGGTTTTACACAAAATAAGTTGACACCGATATAAAATTTATCTTTGCAATAAGGAAAAGCCATTCCTTTTGTTAACAAGAATTTGCTAATTAATATAGCCGAATACGATAATTACCGAATATTATCTAACGGGAATGCAAACAACTGTATCTGAAACTTTAATTAGCTATTCCATATATAAGAAAAAAATAGTTTCGGACGTGAAAAATTTTTATTATACAATATGTGCATTTTATATTCAACTAAAAATTTTTGCACCGACGCGTGTAATTAAAAATATACTATATTCTAAAATAAAAAAATGAACATGGATGTTAAATATATGTGATAAATAATTGTATAAAAAGACACCTTCTCTCCATATTTTTTTTCTCGTTTTCACGTAATAATTTTTATTAACCGTTCTTATCTGCTCAAAATTATTCCAAATTCCTACTTTATCAAATGGCAAATAATCCACTAAATACGCTACAATTCTCGCGATTATCTGGCTTACCTCCACAAGATCATTCACAACCATTGCTTCCAACCACAATCTCTTCTTTAACCCACCAACCAATTCTTACCCCAGTATCAACTAATCAGAATCATGTTTCATCAGAGACGCTTCCTTCAGACTCTCGACGAGTTCTTAATCCAACAGAAATTCCTCTTTTAACACTTCAACAAGTCCTAACTCTAGTGACACCGGCGCTAACTCCTATAACTCCGCTACATATTACTTCAACAACGACTCCTTTAATCCCCCAGCAAGATTTTGCTCTAGTAGCATCATCAGAAACTCCACCAATTACTCGACAACTTTTTGTTTCAGTTGATACTTTTCAACAGGGTCCTGGAATGGAGACAATTTCTCCACGAGTCACTGCTCCACAAGAACCAGAAACAACTCATTTAGATTTCCAATCTAATCAATTCGGCTTTTATAATGAAAATACATTCCCATTCAATTTAGAAGAATCTGCAACAACCCGTTTAAATCAATTCGATTTTTATAATGGGAATACGCTATTGTTTAATTTAGAAGAATCAGCAATAATTCATTCAGATTCACAACAAAATCAATTCGATTTTTACAATGGTAGTACATTTCCATTTGATTTAGAAGACTCAACAGAAATCAATTTAGATTTACAACAGGATCAATTTGATTTTTATAATGGTAATACATTTTCATTTGATTTAGAAGACTCAATAGCAATGGATTTGGATTTACAACAGGATCAATTCGATTTTTATAATGGAAATACTTCTCTATTTAGTTAGAGAACCAGAAATAATTCTTACTTTTCCACAGAATCAATACGATTTTTATAATGGGATACTTCCTCATTCAATTTATTAAAAATTAGAATTATTTACACTATATGCATATATTTATTTTACTTGTTTACTTATTTATAATCATTATATTTCTTCGCTACATTCTTTTGTTCGAAATTATTTACATACGCGTATTTAAACGCTACACTTTTTTCTCTTTGACATCTTCTATTTCTATTGGCACCGTTAATTTAGCAATTACTACAACCGCTTTATTTTTTTATGTTAAATATTTAATTCAATGAAAACCGATCAAAAGATTTAAGTAGAATAATTAGTTACAGTAAAGCTTTATCAAAATTTTACTACATGTATAAAGAAAGGCATTCATATTTTCGAGAGAATTTATTCAATAACTCGATTTACTGACGTATATAAGTTAATACTGTATGACAGGATTATTTATGCACACAGAAATACCTAAGATTATAGATTTTTTTATTTTAAAAGTCAGATATTATTAAATTAATTAAAAATTTATATGAAAGATTAAGTATAGAATTGAAAGATGATATAGAAACCTAACGTACAGTATATAATCATGCATCGGTATGGAAAATAAAGTTTAAAAATCTTATAAATTTTTATAATTCAATGTTTAATTGACAAATATATTACGGATAATATAAATAGCTACTGTATAAAATAGGATAAGATGATGCGGTCAGTTGATTAGTAATTGAGATATCTGTTCTCATATTTTATGAATACTGTATTAAATTAATGAAAAAGGTACATGCTTATGCTGATCATCACATGATCAATTAATTAGCATTATTAGAATTATTAGTAAAATTAGCATTAGTTAGATTATTTTGCAAATTTTGGATGTTTTGATATTTTAATTATTTGGACTATTTTGACTATTTTAACTAATTTGCGTATTTTGATTTTTTTGATAATAATGTAAATAGAAAACATGTATATAAAAAGACAAAAATTTTAAATAAACTTTAAACTTTTAATTTATATTAAAACTTCTATCTGATTCTTATTCTTTAAATTGTCTGAATCCATTTATCAATATTTACAGTAGAAACCTAGAAATAGTTTGAGTAATCATTTACAGTTTATTACTTAAATTTACTATAAATTTATATAAAAAATAAAAGTAAAAGGTTTAAAAAAGTTGAAAAAAAAACAAAACTAGTAATAGAATATATTTTTTTATTTATCAAAAAAATTTTATGAAATACATTTTTATTAATATAATATATTATTGTATAAAAAAATAATAAATAATAAAATAATATATAAAGGTCTTAAACAAATCTTTTATATTAAATAGCAAGTTTTAAGAAAGATATTGGTTTGAATATATTAATTGATATAGATTATTTATAAATAGTATATATTCTTTATATTCTTTATAAATCTATTGTTATATACCAATTCAACCTTAAAAAATAGTATAAAACAGAGAACTGATAGCAGAAAAATACTTTATTTAGAAAATAATCCTAATATGATATGCTATAGTTCATAATAAAAGTATATTAGAAATTTCAAAGATTATAAGACAAGAGGTATAACAATTATAATTATATGAAGACAAATATACTTGTAGTAATTTGTAAAAAACTATTTATTATTGAAACATTATTACACTTCTAATTCTACTAATTTTACCTTTAATTATTCTACAAGTCTTTTTCTATTTTCTTTACAACATTCTTATAATTTCTTTATCATTTTTCCTTTCTACATGAAATATATAATTATTCTATTTATATGAAGATAATAAAAAATATAATTGATGTACTAAATTATTAAGAGTAACAAATAATACAAATATAGAAATAATTAATAAAAGATTAATTTGTAACATGTTTTTTAATTCTTTATGTTACAACTTGAGATTTTTTTTTTTACTGTTAAGTAAAACATTTCTCACGATTTTTATTAATAGAGTAAATTTGTTATATAATTAATATTGAGATGTTGAGATACATTGCTATACATGTCAGTCTACCACCATATTAAATATATTTCTGATAAAAAATCTTTGAGCAAGGAAAAAGAAAGTAACTATCTAATTTTGGAGAGCTAATGCCTCCTTAATAATTTATTTTGTTCTGAAAAGATATGGACAAGTTTTGAGAAAAAAGTTTAAGTGTTATATTGGTTAGTTTGATTTGTTGGATTAATTTGTGATTAGGTATGGAATTGGTAATTGGCTTTTGTTAATGTTGTGGAAATTTTTTGTTGTTATTTTTGTTATTTTTTCTGTATTTGGTGTTTTGTGAGATGTTGAGAAATTTTTTCTCTTCAATTATATCTTTGTTTTTTGGAATCCAGATGTATTGATATATGTGTTCAAGAGTTTCATTTTGGATTTGGTTTAGAATTTTGAGATTTTACTGATTTGGTTTAAGATTATTGAATAGGTGTTTAAGTTGGAATGTGCCTGTTGCAAAATCAATTAGATGGATTGTAGAGTTAATAGTAGTTGAAATTTGATTGGGGTTAAAGTTTTTGTTATTTTTGAATTTTTTGTTAAAAAGTGTTTGTGAATCGGTAAGGATTTTTTTAATTGTTGGTAATGCTTGTTTGCAAAGCCAGAGATGATAAGTAGTTTCTATGTATGAGTTGCAGTGGGAACAGGTGTTATTTGTATAGATATTAGGTAGAGTTATATGAAGATGTAATTTAGTTGGAAGTGTATTAGATAGAATTTTGAGACAGAAGTTATATATTCTAGATTGGTATTGTGTAGTTGAGATTGGTATGTTTTTTAGGAAGGTCAGAATGTTGAGAAATAGTGAAAAGTTTGGTTTGAAGATTTGTTGTGCTCTTTGTAAAAAAATTATTTCTGTGGATTGTATAGTTTTGTTGATTTGTTTAAGGAAATATCTTGCTGGTGGGATAGAAATATTGTTTAGATTTTTAAATATATATTGCATTGGTAATGGATCAATTATGTTGATTTGTGAAAGTTGAGTATTTAATAATTGTGTTTTTGATATGGTGGAGGTGGGTTTATAGAAGATGTGAGAGATCTGGAGAGTTTGAAGAATGTTGTGTATATTTGTAATTGTATTGAAGTATAGAACTTTGCACCTTTTCTTGTGATTAGCAGATGGTGAAGCGAAAATGTTGTTATTTAGTTTTGGATGTTTGGAAAAGAAGATGTAGTCTCTGGACTTATTGGAAAGGAAAATAATTATTATTGTATATAGGAGTAAAAAGAGAGGTTGTAATTGAAGCTAGTTGTAAAGAATTTATAGTGTTGGATAAAGTTCCAAGTTACAGTTGTTATGTTGAATTGGTATTGATATGTTAGAAGGACTTCAAGTGGGGTGTCGTTATATTTGGAAAAGGTGTTAATTATTGATTGTGATATTGTTGACATGTGTTTTTGGATTAGTGATTTGTGAAGATTAAGATCAATTAGTATTTAAGGATTGTTGAAAGGAGGATCTATATAGAGTGAGTTGAATAAATCGTTTTTTGTTGCTTTTGTTTTGATTGTATTGTTGGGAAGTGTTTTAGTAAAAAAATTTAGTGAGTTTAAAGGAATTAAAAGTTGGAATTTATGAGAAGTTGCATAAATATTGAGAGGCCATCCTTGGCATTTAGCAAGTGTTATTGATTTGTTAGGATTGTAACTATTATAGGACCAGTGGTTGATGAGAAGGTTGTTTATATTTGTTTTTTGTTTTTTTCTGATTATTATTTTGTTATTTATAAGAGATGTTAACCATTTTCTTTTTTTGTTTGGTTTTACTGAATTAGTACCAGATTGTTGATATTATAGTTGTGATAGTAATTTGTGCCAGAGAGGTGTTTTTCTGTAAGTGCTGAATCCAAATCTGGCTGAAATGTGTTGCTAGTTTGTTATGTTGTTGTTATTATATGCGAATAGTTATTTGATGTAATAAATGTTTTTTTGGAAAGTTGGTTTGCAAAGATTAACCAATTTGTGTGATGTAATAGGAGTTGGTAGATAGGTGTGTTTTCTTCTGGGATTTTGTGATAGCAGTTTGGTTCAAAACAGAATATTATGTTATAGTATTTGGTGAGGTAAATTGAGTAGGTTGTTGTATTGTGTTTAATAATTTGTTGGTTTTGGAAAATACAGAAAGGTTGGCAGTTTTGGATTTGAATTGTATGAATTTCCAATTCTTTGCTTGGTTTGATAGTGGAATTTGTAACTGCGTATTGAAGATTGGAAATTAAAACTTCTGATTGTAGGACTGAGATAGGTTTGATGTTGAAGATGTATGGATTATAAAACCATGTTTGTGGAAGTGTTTTTTTGATATTGAATTTGTGTTTAATGGTTGAGTCAATTTTTCTCTAAGTTTTGTTTAGCATGTTTGAAGTGAGAAAGATTGTTTGTAGTTTGTATTTTATTTGTAGGAGAAGGACTTTATTGTAAATATAAGAGGCCATATGACCTGTTGTAAATTTTGATTTGAGGAATTGGGAGATTGATTCAGTATCTTCAAGAAATTTGTCACAATTGGGTGTAAGGATGCTGTATTCAGAGAGCCAAGTTCCTAGAATTCTTATTGGTTCTTTTTTGAGAACTGGAAATATAGAAATTGTTTCTTGAAAGATTTTTTTGTCTGGCAAGTTACTGTTTAATGTGATTAACTTGGTTTTGATTGGGTTAGCCTTAATGTCATTAAGTTCAAAAAATTTTGTTGTTATATTTAGGTTATTTTGTATTTCAGTTTTTGAAATAGCGAAAAGATTCAGGTTATCCATATATGCTGTAAATGGAGAAGATATAATAAAGAATGGACGCATAATGCGATTCACACGTCGCGTGTCTAAAATCCAGAAATGTGATGTTGAAAATGAAGTAGTTTAAACGATAGTTTATTAGTAAGCTTAAAAAGTCTAAATCCATGATGTCAGCGATAGTCTATTCTAGCGTAGCATTAGGATATAAAAGAACAATATACTCATGATAAAGAAGAATTGAAAAATAAAAC